TGTGTGTGTGTGTGTGTGTGTGTGTGTGTGTGTGTGTGTGTGTGTGTGTGTGTGTGTTAGCCAGCCCAGTGAACAGAGATCAAACAGAGAAATATAAAGAAACAAATAACTGCATTAATGTGCATTAAAAAAGTATTGCTGTTAAACGTTGGCTGTGTTAACATGATAATAATGTGTTAACATGCTCAGCACTAATATATATATTTATATAATATAATATAATGTACTTCTGCCCCAATGTATGCAGAAGTACTTGGATGAGAAAAAATGTACAGAAGAATCTATGAACAAGACAACAGCTTCAGTGTTGACTCAGTCAGTTGTTGCAATTTAGACCCATTTAGTGTTTTCTGTTTGAGTTGGATTAACTGCTGATGATGAGTGAATGTGTTTTTGTATTTTGTGCAGGTGCAAAGAGAGTTCAGGAAGTGGACGCTCTGCGGGGGGAGAGAGGTTCCAAGCTGGCAGCCCAGATGTTTGGTAGTGGGGAGACATCATTAGGTGATGCCCTTTGGTGCTGYGCCAACCTCTACAGTGACATCAAGCTTCGCCTTTCACACAAGAGGCTCATGATTTTCACCTGTAGGGATAAACCACACGAAGGCGACAATGCAAAGGACAGACAGGCTCGTACCAAGGCCARTGACCTGAAGGAGACGGGTGAGTCTGACTCACTGACATGTCCGTTTAGTGCTGTTTTTAAAATGTTATGTCCCACGTTACGGGAAGTGAGGATCATATTGTTTTTGTACTGTTTATTTATTTTATTTTATTTTATTTTATTTTATTTTTCCCAGGGATTTTGGTCAGCTTTAGCACAGGAACTGCTGCATCTAGCAGCCTTGATAGGAACATAGATGTAAGCTGACCTACCACTTGTTTGTTTAGGTCTGATGAAGGGCTATCCTTTCATGACGTCATTATGTGTTTCTATACAACTGCCACCTAGCAGTAAGCAAAAGAATCAAAACACGACTGAAAATAGTTATTTCCAGCCTGTACATCCTGAACATGATCAGATCTTGATGAAGTTTGGAACAGATGTTGTCTTATCTGACCTAAGAGTCCAGCAGCCTCATGTATGTTCATTACCTCCACCTAAAACAGCTTCTACTCAGAACCAGCTGTGTTTCCATTACAAATATGCGCAAAACTTTGTCGATATTCTATTAAAGAGTAACTTACCCCAAAATTAACTTTTTTTAGCTGATAAACTGTCTAGAATGTGTCTAAAATGTTATATAGTACTGTTTCTGTGCTAATT